CTGCGCCGTGGTGCCGAGTCTGTGTGAGCAGGTCTGCGTCAACACTGAGGGCGGCTTCGAGTGCCGCTGCTTCTCCGGCTACAGGATGGTGAAGGAACGCTGCCAGCCCATTTCCAGCTGCTACGAAGCCACCTGTGAGCAACGCTGCGAGGACGTGCGCTGCGGCTGCTACCCTGGCTATGCCATCGACCCGCAGGAGCCCACCCGTTGCCTGCTGCACTGCAACCACAGCCAGTGCCCGGCCAAGTGCGACCAGTACGGAGAGTCCTGCGAGTGCCCGGAGGGCTTCTTGCTGCACAGGGATGGGGACAGCGGGCCGGTCTGCATGGACATCGACGAGTGCGACATGAACTACTGCCATCACAACTGCACCAACCACCCTGGTGGCTACGAGTGCCACTGTCATGACGGCTACCGACTCCTCGACCAGAACCAGTGCATCAGCATCTCGGTGGAGGATGGGGAAGGGGCGTACTCGGGGGATTTTGGGCCTGGAACCCAGGTGCCTGTCCCTAGCCGGACCCCACCGAAGGCCAAGTGCCTCCATCCTGGTGTGCTAGTGGGCATCGCCGTGGGGACACTCTTGGTGGCACTGGTCCCACTGGCCCTGGGCTACCACCTGGCAAGGAAGCGCTGCAGGTCCCCGGCCACCATGGATTACAAGTGCAGTGGCCCCCACGAAAAAGAGATGGGACTCCAGCCAATCGCCTCGGGATGCGCAGCCTCCGGCCAGAAACTGTAGGGAGAGCGGGCAGGATGGAGAGATGGAGGTGGACAGAACTGGGCAACATTTACTCCCCCCCTACCCCAACCTTTTAATGATATGTAGAATTTGGGAAAAGCTGTGATGGCCTCCACTTCCAGAAACACTTGCCGCTCTCCAGCCGGCTCTTGCAATACTCGCACTGGAGTGGGAAAGGTGAAGGCACAGAGCGCTGCTCCCTTCTCGGGCATCTTTTCCCAAGCCAGCAGCTGGGGGGGCTTTAAGGAAAACCTGTTCATGTGCTATAGGAGGGACATGTCTGCCTGGAACTGTTTAAATCCACATGGATGTGGGGTGAGAGCATGCGAGACTTGTCGGGGACTGTGGCAGGTCGCCCTGGCCCCCGTTTCCCCTCTACTCTGCCGGGAAGCATGCTGCTGGGCTGGAGATGGTGGTATTCCCGGGGTGGTGAGGAGCTGGGATGCTCCTGGCTTATTCTGGGTTCAGTTTATTTGTTTTTGTTTTAACAGGCGGGTGATGGAAGAAGGAGCAAAGATCTTGCAGTCAGCACTTTGTCTGGCTCCTCTACCCCGGTTTTTGTGTGTCCCATCTTTTGCCTCTTGTGTTTTTGGGAACACAGGGGTTAAATGGGGATACCGAGAATGCAGGGTAATTTTTTCCGGTGGTAGGAAAGATGGTGGAGCTTCGCCTTCCCTATGCAATTTCTTCCATGATTTTCTGCCCTTGATGGGTTAAATTGTTTGGGGTTTTGTTGTTTGATTGGGTTTTTTTTACATCCTCTTGATCGACCCCTCCTGACTGCAGATTTTTTTCCCTGTTTTTCCTTTAGTCTTGTCCAGGGCCGAGTCTTACCAATGTCAAAACTCACGGCAAAACTTTCCTGGGGGAGGGGGGACAGGACCCACCCTGCTGCTTATTTTCCAACCACATATTGGGAAGGGGGGAAAATCTGGAAAACCATTTGATGTGTTTTTTCCACCTCCGGTGTGGAGACACGGGGCAAGAAGCTGGGGAGGGGGTCCTGTCTGGCAACCGTGCTGGGGTGAAGCTGTTGGTGTGGGCACAGGGAGTGGGTGCTGACAGCTTTATGCCTGTGAAATACCAACTTGCAGCAGCACTGGGCTTTCCCACAGGAAGTTTTGCAAGCCTGGGATCAGATCTCAGGAGGGATGAACACTGCAGAGAGGCTGCAGAGCTCGGGGTGTATGTGTAGCTCCCTCCCCTTACATGCCAAGTGAACTTGCAGGAAAGGAAAAAAAGATTATACATCGTATGAACTGTATCTTTCCTGATGTAAATGGTTCAATCCCATGTTTTATACACCCAGCACATTTGTAAATACTTATTTATTTATTGGAAATATACCCTATGCAATGCACAATCACATGGTGATTTTGTGTGTAGACCAATAAAGCTTTTACAGTCTGGTTTATAGAAAACTGCTAATGTAATGTTCTTTCTCCCCTCCTTCCCTCAAATCACTGGTTTTCCTCCCTGAGCACCAGCCCATCTCACAGCCAGAGCTCCAGGAGTCACCAAACCTCACTGGAGCCAAAGAGATAAAGGAGCTGTGAGCTCTCGGCGGAGCATCAGGCTGAAAAGCACTGTCCTTCTGGTTATTTCACCACCGTGATTAATGGAGAAGGAATGAGCCATAAATAATGGAGAACAACATTAAATGGACAAAGTTAACCCCAAATAAGCTGGAAATGGCTAATTTAATGCTACCTCAGTGCAGCCAAAGCCATGTAGCCCCAGTGCTGCTCCTCAGCTCAAGTTTCTCTGGTACCATTGGTGTTTACCCATCACAGAGAGAATGGGATCTGGTTCTCCCAGTTTTTTTCATGGAAAACAGAGTTTTGAGCCTGAGTGCACTAAAATTTCGTCACCTGGGAATTTGGGGGAGGCTTACCGGTTTAAGAAAACCTAAGTTTTTTTCCCTTTCCTGTTAGCTGTGGGGAAGTCTGGGATGCCCAGGCCCCTGCTGTGGCTTAGTTCGGGTAGTCTCAATCTCTGATCCCAGTTGCTGACACCCTCTTTTTATTTTTGTAACATAAGAGGAACCCAAAGGGCTCAAACATCCCCTCAACACCCTGCAAAGCCGATGGAAATGCCTTATCCAGTCCTACCCCCTCACTCCTTAGACATAATGAGGCTGATGGGCTTTTCTCCACCTTTTGGAGCATGTTTTGGGAAGGGAGGGGGAAATTTGTGTTTTATTATTTTGGATGGGGGGTAACTTTAGCCACACTGCTAAAGTTACCGTTCGCTAATGTGTTTTTAAATCCTCATTATCACCGAACCCAGTGGAGGCTCCTTGCTGCCAGAGATAACGGCAATAATTACTCAGTCAGCGTAATTAACTGTATCACGGGCCGGTCTTACGGCTCTTTATTTTGTCGAACTGTGTGTCCCCCTCTCCAGCCAGGGGCCCCTTTGCCTGTGCCCAGTGGAGACACCCACCTGGGGGTCCGTCAGGGGAAGGGGCACCCTAGAAGGTGGTGGTCTTTGTGAGGAGGGGTCCGGGCTTGCAGCAGGGCTCGGGGTGTACAGGCTCCTGCTGGCAGGGCAGGGGGGGACACATGCAGCCCTTGCCCTTGTCGTCCCCTCGGGGCGCGGCGCAGTAGTCGAGGGGCTCTTCGTCATCCTCATCCTCCTCCTTGGCATCCCCCGACCCGGTGTGGCAGCAGCAGAGGCTGGCGTCGAGGCAGCGGCGCAGCACGCCGTGGAAGGAGTGACGGAAATTTTCGGAGAGGAAGCCATAGAGGATGGGGTTGGCGCAACTGTTGGAGTAGCTGAGGATGAGGGAGGCGTTGTTGACGGTGGAATCCAGGCGGCCGGGCAACAGGAGGTTGACCAACTGCACCACGTAGAAGGGCATCCAGCAGACCACAAACATGGCAACCACCATCAGCACCAGCCGTGTCAGCTTGCCCTCGGAGCGCCGGCGTTGCTGCCAGCCCACCCGCTGTGCCACTGCCCGCATCTTGCCAACGATCAGCAGGTAGCACAGCCCCATGGCCAACACCGGCAGCAGGAAGCCCAGCAAGGGGGTGTAGACCACAAAAGCGGCCGACCAGGCCGGGCTTGGCCACAGAAGGTTGCAGGCCACCGCCTGGCCATCACGTGTGGTTGCCGTACCGGCAAAGATAGGGATGGGTGAAGCCACTAGCAAAGAAAGGAGCCACACCCCCCCGTTGACTATCTTGGCCACCCGAGGACGGCGGTAGGTGGCTGCTCGCAGCGGGTGCACCACCGCGATGTAACGGTCCAGGCTGAGGACGGTCAAGCAGAAGACGCTGGTGAACATGTTGAGCCCATCGACACCCAACACAGTGCGGCACAGGGCCCGGCCAAAGGGCCAGTGGTGCAGGGCGGCCGACGTGGCCACGAAGGGGATGCTGAGCATGAAGAGTTCATCGGCGATGGCCAGGTTGAGCAGGTAGATGTTGGTGGCCGTCTTCATCTTGGCGTAGCGCAGAATGACGAAGATCACCAGGGAGTTGCCCAGTAGCCCCAGCAAGCACACCAGGGCGTAGATGCACTGGATCACCACCATGCCCGCGATCTCACCTGCCTTGCCGCCCCACTCTGCCAGCCCCTGCTGCTGACCAGCCTCCCCCGTGGCTGCGCTGGTGTTGGGGGGCACCTCAGAGGCGGCCCAGCTGGATACGGTCCAGAGGGGCATCCCAGCCGCCTGGGCCGGGAGCTGCCCGGCGTCAGCACTCATGCTGGGAGGTGGTCCATGGATGGGACACCGCCAGGGACAGAGGCCAGCCTGAAGGCAGGGCACAGGCAGAGAGAGAAGGGGATGAGAGCTGCAGCGTGTGGCAGATGGAAAGCACGGTCCCCCGCCTTGCCCCTTGGATCATAGCCATGCGTGCTGGGCAGCACTGGCCAGGGTCCCCCCTGCTCCTTCCACACACCCCCTTCCTTCCCGGGCACCTTCACATCACTCCTGAGGGCAACAGCATCATTCTCTGGGCTGGAGCATCCCAGCGTTTTGGTTCTTAGGGGATGGGGGGCACAGGGTGTGTGTTAACCCTGCGCCAAGCTGGTGGCACGGCCTGGGAATCAGTGCCTCCATCCTGATCACATTCGTTAACCCCCGTGGGGAAGGCAAACAGAGAAGAAACTGAGGCTGGAGATATTTTACCTCTGGCTCTTCCAGGGACTGAAAGAGCAGCCCACCTCCCTCCCGGTGGGCAGCTGCTCCCGGGGGGCGTCTGCAGGCCGGTGGGAATGCAAAGCCCTACTTGACCCAAAGCAGATGACCGTAAGTATCCAGACCTTTGGAAGTGAAAGACACGCTTGCCGGGTGGGAATACAGGCTATCCTCCCTCA